TGCCGTATTTCTGATATAGTTTTTTGCAAATTTCTCAGTTTTTAATAACATTTAATTTATTTTACTATTTTTTCTGTACTCCTATAACAGCGCCAGACAACACCTCCAGAGGAATGACGCCAAGTTTGAATCACCCTGTATATAAGACGATAAATTATAAAACCCAGTTTAAGTAACGAACGAAATGGATTAATTTTGAGGCAAAGTACGTAGGAAAACCATATTTTTTATCACACTTTGCTCCTGAGATTCGCCATCTGGTTTGAGACCTGAACAGAGAGTTTGTAAATTTCAAAAAAATCTACAAATAATATCTACAGCTAAGCGTAAAGTGGCGACAATAGTAGTTTTCGATACAAGGGCGAAAATTGTCGTTTTCCGAACGACGACGGCATTTGACATCCAAGACGAAGTCGATAAAAAAAGTCACATAAAATAATTCATGAAAGGATAAACTGGTGTTTGAAACTATTTAAATATTTACATAGTTTACTAACTGGTATAAACTTTTTCTACTATTTCACAAATCTTCCAAACAATTTACAGCGTCGTATGAACTCCAACCGTGCAAATACAGGGTGTTTTGGGAGTAGAAAAAATTAGTTAAACAAATTCATTGTTAGGTATAAATAAATGAGATATTTGCAAAAAGCTAGATCAGAAGGATGGCAACAATATTTTTCAAAGTAATTTTCCTCATTAACAGTACATAAATACCTGTTACTTCCTAATTATTTCAATCTGTAGTAACCATTGAAACACAAACACAACAAAAGGAAAAGCGGGGATTAAATATTTTGAGGTTAGGATAACCTTGTCACTGCCGTCAATACGGGCAACATTTTTCGATTAAAAGGGTGGTATACCTGAATCCGCCATAGATGCACAGAATTTAATATATGGGGGATGTCCGGTGCATAGATGTCAACAGTACATGCAGCAACAACAGCAAATAAAATACAACTAAGTTGTTAAATCATATGAAATGTTTAAAGTTGAGCCCATTTAGCTGCAAACATACTTGTGATCTAACACTTTTGGCGGCAGTCGGGGTTCACATGTTGAGCAGTTTTTCGTATTCGGTTAAATAACTCGTGATCAATTTGTACCGATGTGGAGTTAACCAGATATTTAACGTGTGTATGTGTCCGGTTTATCTTACATACGTGGTAGAAATGGAGCTTCGGTATTTGGTGCCTGCGAAAGTGTTGGTTGTTGTACAGTAACGCAGAGCATAATGCAAGACTCTTGGAAGGCTCAGTTGCTATTATCTCCCATCCCACTATCTTCCTGGAGCCAATCTTCCAATATCTCGAGTCCTTTGTTAGCGTAAGTTCTTACAGCTTTTGACATGTTACTGTGGCATTTCCTCAGAACGAATCGCAAATTAGTGAAAGGAGCTTCAAAGTAAGTCACAGTTTGACAAATTATTGTTATTATTGACAAATGCTATCTATCTGTAACTATCTGTCAATGCCAAAAAACATCATTGCCGCTTTGACTTTTCTTCAAAAATTGTAGAAGAGTACTTTTTGAATATGATTTTTTTTCGTAATTCGAAGTAAATATCGTAATTTTTTTCTTTAAATGCTCTAGTATTTCAATAAGCTACCTCTCAAACATAGGACCTTTTCAAAATAACACTTAAAGAAAAAGTTGAAATTCGATTTTCTACTTCATTTCAATTTTATAAAATTTTCAATATTTTATAATATAAGTGTTTTTCTCGGACTCTCCAAGTGATCTTCTATCACGCTTAAAATAAATGACGCCAATTTTGAATGACCCTGTATGTGTACGCGGATTGTGAAAAAACGCGAATTTTGATCAAGAGTAAAGATCAAACTTAAAACTACCTTCAACTATGCAAATATATCTTGCTACTTACAGATTTATTTTTGCAATTAATTAGTATAAGTGCATGCCGATGCCGAACATTTATCTTTCTAGACATTTGAAACGTGATATATAACCTTGCTGTTCCATTCAAAAGCGAATTGGAAATTCCCACAAAAAATAATTAATA